CCTCCACGTCGTATCTCGTCCGGTTGTCTCCCACGGCGTCCAGCGAGCGCAGGAAGGCGAACATGGCGGCGCGGCTGTGCCGCCAACACCCGGCCAACACCCGCACCCTCACCCCCCTCTCCACCACGGCGCGGCGCAGGCGGTCGTCGATGGCCGGCCAGAAGCGCTCGGGCCGCGAGAACTCGGTGCTGGCCAGGTAACTCATCACCGCCACGTCCACGAACGCCTCGGCGCCGTCGATGGCCGCCAGCAGCGCCTCCAAGTCTTGGGTGCGGCCGGCGGGGCACAGGGCGGGCGGGGAGCTCTGCCGGGAGGAGTTTGGGCGTCACCGGAGCGGGAGGGCTCGGCCCCCTGGGCGCGGCGCGGCGCGGCGAGGGCGGCGCGTTACCGAGAAGTAAACGGCGGCCGCGGTGTCGTTGAGCGTCATCTCCATGGGCGTCTCCAGGTTGATGGCGGTGGAGTAATTGTCCGGCCACGGCGCCGGGATGGAGGCGTCGGGAACGCCCAGAGCCCAGTAGGCCTCGAAGATTTTGGCCAAGTCTTGGGCCAGGCAGCTGCAGTTGTAGATGGCGGCGCCGAGCTCCTTCACCTGCGGCGAGCGGCGCCGGTGACGCGCGGGAGGCGGCGGCCGAGGTTTGGGGGGGAGCGGCGGCGCTGGGGTTGGGCTGGCGCCGATCTCGTTGGGTTCGGGGCCGATCGGTGGGTTTGGCACGGTGGGAGTTGGGTTTGGGGTCAACCTCTTTGGGTTTGGCACGGTGGGAGTTGGGTTTGGGGTCAACCTCTTTGGGTTTGGCATGGTGGGCGTTGGGTTTGGGGTCAACCTCTTTGGGTTTGGCATGGTGGGAGTTGGGTTTGGGGTCAACCTCTTTGGGTTTGGCATGGTGGGCGTTGGGTTTGGGGTCAACCTCTTTGGGTTTGGCATCAATTGATGTTGGGTTTGGCATCAATTCCAAGGGTTTGGCACCAATTCCAAGGGTTTGGCACCAATCCCATTGGGTTTGGGGTCAACCTCGTTTGGTTTGGCACCATCCAGGTTGGGTTTGGCACCATCCATGTTGAGTTTGGAACCAATCCCATTGGGTTTGGCACCATCCAGGTTGAGTTTGGCACCAATCCCGTTGGGTCTGGAACCAATCCCATTGGGTTTGGAACCATCCATTGGGTTTGGCACCATCCATGTTGAGTTTGGAACCAATCCCATTGGGTTTGGGGTCAACCTCATTTGGTTTGGCACCAATCCCGTTGGGTCTGGAACCAATCTCATTGGGTTTGGAACCATCCATTGTGTTTGGCACCAATCCCATTGGGTTTGGCATCATCCACATTGGGTTTGGCACCATCCATGTTGAGTTTGGAACCAATCCCGTTGGGTTTGGCACCAACCCCCCGGGGTCCCACACCTGTCCCCACCCCTCTTCACCACCCACCTGCGTCAAGGACCTCCAGTCCATGTTGGCACTGCCAATGTAGAGGTGAACGCCGTCCACCAGCCAGAATTTGGTGTGCAGGATGCCGCCGGTGAGACGCGGGAAATCCACGGCGCGCACGGCCGCACCTGCCGCGCCAGAATCGGGGCTGTCCCACCGAAACCTCCCCCCAGAGACCCCCAAATTTTGGATTGGGGTGGGGGGGGGGTGGGCTTGGAGGGTGGGAATTCCCAGCTCACCGCTACGCTCCAGAGCCTGCAGATCGTCCAGCGGCGCCTTGGCCGAGGGCGCGCTGACCGCCACGCGCACGGCCACGCCGCGCCGCGGCAGCCGCAGCAGCTCCGCCAGGATCCGCTCGCCCTGGGCGCCCAAACCACACCAAAAATGGCTGAAAACCCCCACAAAAAAAAACCAAAAACATAAAAACCTCGTGAGGGGTGGGGACGGCCGTACCGGCGCCGCCGTGGGTTCGTGCGTCCGCGTGTCCTCGTTGGTCAGGGTCCAGTAGAAGGAGGCGATGTCCACGCTGCGCGAGGCCGCGGTCAGCAGCTGCAGCCACGTCTCAAAGGTGGACGGGTTGGGGGCTCCAGCCATGGTCATTCCTTCCGGGATGCTCTCCACCAGCACGATCCTGTGGGG